CACACGCACACACACACACTACAACATGTATATTATGAGATTTTTTTGCCGTAATGACATGCTTATTTTCATTGGCGGACAGGCCGATGTGCTGGTTAATACAGCTGGAGAAGACTTGAACTTACAGAATAATGCCTGCGCACGTTCCTTTTGTAAGGCTGCAGGACCGAATTTGCAGAGATATTGTAGCAAGATATCACCAGTGAAAGTGGGAGAAATTGGTGTAACTAAACCAGGTAATCTCCAATGTCAGCACGTATTCCATGCTGTTTGTGGAGACTGGGACAGTGGAAAGGGCGAAAAGGTATGTTTTTATGACTATAAAATAATATTTATGATTAGTATAATTTTAGACTTYGATATAGAGTTTCGCAAGCTGTGATTGGTTGAGCGACCGGTTTTTCAAAGTTTTTCAAAGTTTTCCAGATCGGAAGTAATACTAAAACGTTTTCTTTATCCTGAATATCGACTTTTCGTCTTCGGCGAATAATCGTTAATTGGTATTTTTACACAAGTAAATATAATAAATCCGGCGCGCTCATTTGTCACAATTTAATCTTATGCTTCTACATTTGTCTATTGAAGAAATAGAAAACGCGCACGCGTGCTGTATGCAGTTATAAAGCACGCGGAGGATGGCAGAACACGAGAGAAGTGTTAGGAGAAGCAAGACGCGTAGCGGAGTGATTCTGGACACTTCTCGAGTGTTCTGCCAATCCCCAAGTGCTTTTTAACTCCAGATAGCACAGCAAGCAAGTTTTTTTTTTCTTTTATAAAATACAATTTACAATAACCGATATTTTAGATAGGAATAACGCAACTGAAAGTGCGCGCGCGCGTGCTGTGTTCTCTTATCAAGCACGCGCTTACAATATCATAACGCGAGATTTATAACAGTTATTTTATAAAGTGTTGTATATTGTATTGTATCGATATTCACTGAGCATGAAACGAATAATCGTCTTAGTGTTTTTAATAGCGCAATGTCTTAACAGCGATCCATGTACTCTGTGGCACTCATCTTGCCATATTGGTCTTTGGTGCGTGTGATGAATCATTTATATTCGATGCAATTTTTTTCTCCATAATAACAGACCCCAACCACTACAGCCACCTGGGTGTTCACCAAATGGAAAACATTTAATGGCAATCTGTGTTTTAAAAACATTGATGAAACTCTTCTTTTAACAATTAAATGCTAGTTCTTTAAACTCATGAATAGAAGCTTTGCACCATCACGTGCCGGCGCTCATAATACAGCTTGGACGGCCTGTGGTTAGATGGCAGAACAATAAAATCCCTTTGCTCTCGGGAATCGAATTCTTTCTCATGTAAAACGATTGTATTGTTCTTGCCATCTAACATAGCCTCCGTCACTTGATAGTGGAATTCGAAAGCCTCTAAAATTCTTAAACCTTAAATTTGGTTCAAACTCTTACTGTACAAACCATTATCGAAGTTTACTAAGTTCATATTTGTTAGGACTGGTGTATGGTTGCCCTAGTTCGACCAAAAACKTAYGAATTTATCATRGGTTTTTGGTGTTAATAAACGCGYAGAAAATWWWAAAAAWRTSTYA